TGTTCGTAAGGCAAACAATTTGTAGTGCTGCTATTGTTTGTGGTAGATCATTTCATCCTAGGAGATAGACGTCCAAATTCTGATAGCACCGTGGAGAGGACGAATCTGTCGTAAGGACACAGTGTTAAACACTGGACTTGATCAGAAAAGTTATTCAAATAAATTAATCAAGTAAGTTGTTTAATTTTATTCTGTTTTTATTTGTTTATTTAATCAGATTTTATTTTTTATTTTTGTAACAAAATAAAATCTGTGATTTTATTTATTTATTTATTATTTCGAGTTTGATTTTTGTAATCAAACAAATTCTCTCTTTTTCTTTATTTCTTTAAATTCATTGTTGTTGTGTACACAATAGAATTAATCTTTTTAAATACAGTGAAGATTGTCCTACAATCTTAAGACAGACTCGTTTTTGGGTATCTTCATTGTATTTAATTTTCTGTGTTTTCAAATTAATATTCTGGTTGGAAAAACAAATAGTGATTTATGCTATTTGACAGATAGTAGTAATATACTGTCTCTTTTCTTTGACAACAACTAGTAGTACGATACTGGTGTCATTAACAATTCAGAATATTATTTGGTATTACAGAAAATTCTTGTGATATTTTATTTTTCTAGTTTTAGTAATAAGGAAAATAAAATTATTTTGTTGTTATAATTTATTTTCTGGTTTTAGTAACTAGAAAATTAATTTGTGTTTTAATTTTTTCTGATTTTTGTAATCAGAGATTATGGCTACTACAAACTGCATCTGGCAGTGGTACTCCTATTGTTACACCTACATCGGTCCCTATCCAGAACCATGTTCATGTACCAATCAATCATGGAGAAAAACCGGAAAAATTTAACGGTACCGAGTTTAAGAGATGGCAGCAGAAGATGATGTTCTATCTGACAACTCTTAATTTGGCCCGGTTTCTCCATGAAGAGGCTCCAGCACTTAAAGAGGGTGAAAGTGATCGGCAAGTTGTTGCCGCTGTAGATGCTTGGAAACATTCAGATTTCCTGTGCAGAAACTACATCCTAAATGGCCTTGACAATATGCTGTATAATGTATACAGTCCTCTAAAAACAACAAAAGAATTGTGAGATTCTTTGGAGAAGAAATACAAGACAGAAGATACCAGCTAATCACATAACAAAAGATTTTATGTGTAGAATATGCTGAGTTATCTTTCTTTTCTTTTTTTTTCATATGAAGGAGGCTGAAGCCAAACAAACTAAGGGTTGGTTTGGGATGTTCTAAAAAATTGTATTTTTTGATTTATTGGCTTATATGGGTTGGACTTGATGTGATGTGTTAGAGAGGTGATATGATTTAAATAAAATGATATGACTTAAATAGGATAGTGACTTTTTGAATTTTCGTATTATTTAATGTAGCACAAACCAAGCCTAAATTAAATTTGAGACCACAGGGCCTAGCCCCTCTCTATCCTGCCGAAGCAACTCCTCCACCAACCTAGGTGCGTTTCTCAGAATTTGATGGCTTGGACGATTTTGTTAGTTAGTTTGAAGATAAAATGATGACTTACGTATGAGAAATTATTGAGTGCTCGTAGAGACCACCATCACTTTTTTTTTCTTTTTTTTTTTTTTTAGAGCCAACACAAT